AATTCTGCTTTAGAGGAGAGAGAAGGGGGGGCGGAAGAAAAAAAGTTACTCGTGTAACTTATTTAAGCTAAAATTAATGGGGCCAGGGAAGGCAGGGGGCTGCTCGCCCCATCCCCAAATACTGCACCAGTGCAATGCAGGCTCTGACGGGTGGGATGGGGGAGACCCCCTCCCAGGTAAATGCCACACCTGCTTTTCAGTCCCAAGCCAAGGCATTTAGTGTATCAATCCTCTGAATTATGTGCTTCAGAACACTCAAGTAAATGCCTTGCAGACTTCTGCTCTGGCAGCAAGACACAGCAAAAGCAGCACCACGCTGCTGGGGGGGAGTGGTGGTGAAGCCCTCCAGACCAATTTGAGTGAGACCCCCTCCCAGGTAAATGCCACACCTGCTTTTCAGTCCCAAGACAAGGCATTTAGTGTATCAATCCTCTGAATTATGTGCTTCAGAACACTCAAGTAAATGCCTTGCAGACTTCTGCTCTGGCAGCAAGACACAGCAAAAGCAGCACCACGCTGCTGGGGGGGAGTGGTGGTGAAGCCCTCCAGACCAATTTGAGTGCCTCTTCCCCCAGCTCATCCCACTAAGTGTAGTGTGAAGGAAGGGCTTAAAACTGGGCTGCGGAGTCTGAAGTGCAGAGCAAGTTCCTAGCACCTCTCAGGCTGTACTTAAACCTTGCAATGACCTAGCAACTCTTCTAGCAGAGCCACCTCAGTCACAGCGGTGACCTTTGTAAACAAAGCTTTTTTTTCCCAACATCATTTTAAGCCTGATCTCTACTTTAGGCTTATAGGAAGGGAGAGGGGAAGTTCACTCCTCACTGTTCACAGAAGCCAGCCTCTAGGATTTAGCTTGTTTTAAGTGACAACGTTGTGTCCATGTACAACAGGAGCCAGTCCACTACCTGGTTACACATGGTACATTGTACAATGCACAAGTTAGAAGTACCCTTTTACAACATAACATTAAAACATAGTGTAACAAACGTCTTCAGTAAATTGAGGCAATAAAGATAGCCTTATCTGGGAGAAGAATATCTGCTCAGCTCAGTCTCACTGCACCAGGCTCAGAGGTGTTTGAGTTTAGTACCACTTTCAAATTTACAGTCTGTGGAATCTTTTAATAAAGTCTTATTCAGCCTGTTTTCCTTGGTCTAATGGGGGGCAAACCACTAGTTTTAAAGATAAACAGGGTGTGTGAAATCTCTCAAAACAAGTTCAGTCAGGCAGACTTTATACCCAACAGAAAAAAAAAGACTGCAGAGAAGTAGCTATACTGGGTTTGGGAAAACCTGCATATCTACAATGCCGCACATGCAAAAAGATAAACCAAATGGAAACAAGACATCAAGGTAGCTACAAACAACAATAAAAAGGCATCAGATAAGTGTCTGGAGATGGCTACACAGGAAAAGCTATACAAGACATTTCTGGAATTGCATATACAGAGATTTAAATTTTATTCATACATTTATTATTTACACAAGCTACCTCTATTAATTGCAAGAGACTGACCTTGACTCTCCTAGTTTTAAATGAGGTTACTAACCACCATGTACAGTAGAACAGAGTTAATACTGTTAATGTCATTGGTGGTGTGAGCGTGCACCAAGGCAGTGAAACGCCTAACAATTCTACTTTGGAAAAGTATTCGTTCTTCTGTGCATGTGGTTCTTAGTTGCTGCACTTTCAGCTGGAGCAGCTGGCAAGGCTGTATCTGTATAGAACCATACTGTTAATGCCATCACAGACCAGAAAAATGCCCACACGTGCAGGTAAGTAAAAAAGTCCTTTTTTATATATAAAAAAAGCATTAATTCTGTTTATTGCACAAAGGAAGATTTAAACTAAACTAATACTGCAGGGTTATGTATCCCTCTCGTTTGTTCAAGCTGTTTAACAGGCAGACTATCAGTTGTAATTTTTCTGTATATTAGCCAATAAATTCCAGCAACAAGGTGCAGTGATTCCACATGCCTACACTACTTTGGATGCAGCATGCTAGCTTTCCTGGGAAACAAAGCCATCGCATGCCCATCCTCTGCAGCTGGGAGGAACAGTAAACCCAGGGAGAACTTGCCAACTCAGTCACATAGTAAACAAGGTGTATTTTCTATTTCAGCCTCCACCCTGTATGTATGTTACATTAAGATCAACCAATCTTGCCCCAGAAATGCAAGAGGCAAGGATATTGTTTTCAGAAGTAGCCCTCTTGGGAAGGGCAGCAGGACCACCCCAGCCCATACCTTCCTTGCGAAGGATTCCCCCCCGCCCCTTTTTTATTCTTTTCAATACAGCCAAATTAGAGATCCCAGAGTGAAACCAGATGAATGGACACAGTCACAATACATAGCTACTGAAGAAGAACAAATGACCTGTTTTCCCTCAAGTATGCTCTCACCAAGCATGTGACTTTAAAAAAGCTAAAGAAACCTTATTTTTAAAAATATGTCTGTCAGCACAATTTAAAACTGTCATTGCCTTTACAACTAATTCAAAACCCAAATTTAATTAAAATGAATTGGCATTTTCCCCATGGACAGTCATTAGTTGTAATGACTTTGTTTTGGTATTACAATATGTAATCTCTGAGCAGTCTTCCATTTTACCAGAAGACTGTAAAAGAAAGGTCAGGTTTCTTCAGACATTCAAATAACTATATGAAGCAAAATTACCAGAAAAAGAGCTTGTTTACAGAAGTAAGAGGTGAAGGGTACATAAGAGATAAATAGCTTATAACCTGGGGTATTTGCACTGCAGTGGAACAGTAGATAAACCCCCTTAGGTAAAACATGGAAGCTTTGCTCCTCTCAATGTAAACATTTTGAGTGTTGCAAGAAGCTAATACAGATAGATAGATACTCTTAGCTTCTAAACACTTTCTAGCCTAGAGCCTCCGCTTTCTCTTTCCTCTCCAACCACACTGTAATTGGTGCCAATCGATAAGTGATTGGGGTAGTTGTGTGGACCAAAGGCCATGTAGGACCATCCGTTAATGGGAAGAGTTTTTACTTTACTGAGTAAAGACTGTCATTATCAACTCCTGGCAACACAAATGCTACCTGAAACATCCAAGATGCTTTTCTTTGATTGGTGTTCATGTGGGATTGGCAAAAATCCCTTTTAGTTCAAGGGCATGGATTTTCTCTCCTATTTGCACAATTCCATAATAAAAGCTGCAGCAGGGTAACTAGCATCAATGGGGTGTACCAGAGGAGATTTCTCTGGCCGCTATTCAAGATGGAACATCCCCGAGGTCTCACCTCTATGAGCAATCTTGTAGTTGCTATGACCTGTCCCACTCATGTTAGCCACAAAGAGCTACATCCGAAGAAACCATCTGCAGAGTTATGGGTTCAGAATTCTCTCACAATTAAAAATTCCTCTGTGCTTCCTTTTCAAGTAGAGTCATCCAACCCTTTATTCGGGTGCTCAGAGCTTGACTTGCAGAGCCTGTCCATGATCCCCTGCAGCATAGGCTGAACAATCCCCAAGAGAGGGCGCTGGGAGGAGTCTCCATCCCAGCAGGCTTCCATCAGCTGCCAGCATTCCTCATCAAACACCGGAAGACGCTCCGGGCGAACTCCTGGAAAATGGAGAGGGACCTAGTTACCGTCAGTACACCTCAAATCTGAGAGAAGCTTTGTCTGATGCTTTGCTGCAGGTTGAAGTGAGCGAAGTGGACTGTCGGGGGTCTAATGCTCTTGATAAAGGCTTAAATTTCAGCAATGCTGCTGAAACATCTCTAGGAGCATTGCTGAAGTCGCTCAGGAGATCATGCATACTTCCAGAGGATGGCCAACACATTTCATTTCACTGGAGCCTCCTCTTAGCAATTATTTGGGAGCAAAATTAATACCCTCCCCTGTAAGAAAACATAGTCCCTCCACTCCACCTGCTCATAATTGTGCCTTGGGAGCAAGTTCAACATAAGAACAAGCAGCAAGTGCAGCCTTCTGACCAAATACAAGACTCACTCATCTGAGTTAATCTTTTTCACATGAGAAGGGGAGAGTTTACACAGACAGGAGCTAAGGACACAAAGTGGTAAAGCACTCTGATACCATGATGCAGGACGAAGGATTAAGCTACCATAAAACACAGTACTACAGTAAACCTACATATAAGACTAAATTTCTGTTTTGGGGAACAACTATCACAGTGTCTTTTACTCAACATCCAGCCTCCTCAGCATGCTGCATATTAAGCATTTGAAAGTACAGATCACTACAGCTTCCAGAAATTGGAGGGGATTAAGCATTCTTTAGGGGATCATGCCTGGCTGGTTCTGGGGTCTGGTATACATCAGAAGTATTGTACTACTACGCATTGTTTAAGCAGTGTGCTAGCACAGTTCCTATGACTCTATGGCAAAGAGGTGGTTAACTGAAAGCCTTTTTTTATGCCTGCTAATTTTAGTTAGGCTCTCAGTAGAGTATGTCCAAGTTTAACTAGGTAAGTGTTACTCTTTAGACTCTCAATGAAGCAATACAACTTGTATTTTTACCTTTCAGTTACAAGAAGATAAAACTGGATTTCCTCATCTCCTCAAATTTTACTTAAGCATAAAGTATGAACCAATAGAGTTCAAATAAGCCATTTATACCTCTTCTAACATTGTTCCAAAGGTGATCTTTGCTTGCACATCTCTCGAAAGCCTCTGGTAACTTCACATGTCCCGAACAAATGTACCAAAACAGAATGCCAAATGCATAAACATCCACTGAGTTATCATACTTTCCTGGGGCAAAAAAACATTTGATCAGTAGGGCAAACAACATCTTCATCACTGGAAACTGAGCAGTCTGAGAACTAATTTCAGTGTTCCACTTCCTCAAATTAAGACCACAACTTCATTGCTAGAAGGCAAGACTTCTGTGAAGCCTAGTAACACATCAGGAGTCACTGCCAAAGGTGGAGGGCTAAAAGGTAAGACCTTCCAATTCTCAGAGGATTTATACACTTAACCTGTACCAGCAGTTCCCAAGCTGAGGTTCGTGGACCACTGCAGGTACAGGTGCTCAGGTGTATTTCAGACTTAAACACCAACATTTGTAACACTAGCAGTTCTGCCTGGCTCTGCTGCTAGCCCAGGAGTCTGCTGGAGCTAACATCAGCCTCTCAATCCAGAAATTTGGCAGCTACTCATTTATAGCAAGTTCACCCACTGAATAAGAAAAGATTGAGCACACTAAGTGCTTAAGGGCTAAGCCAATGCTCACCTCTGTAAGGTCAAGGTCTAGCCTGCTAGTCCTGAGTATTTCACTGTTAGTAGTAAGAACCACCTGAATAATATTTTCTAAATTAAACACAGAGTTGCTTCAATTTGATTGCAATCTTGTCAGAGCAGGGACAGCACCTCAGATAGAACAAAAGGATTCTGGTAAGTGTGGTATGGACCTTAAGTGCTACTGTAAGATGCTTGCTCAGAAAAAAAGCTCAGACACTATCTACCAGAAGCGTAACGCATAGTGAATTTGAACACACTCTACATGTTAGTAACGACTTGGAAATTCTTTACAGGGGATCCTTTCTGAAGTTTTTGCCTATATAAGCCAAATATTTCCAGCTTCCTAATAACTAATAATTGAACTTTCCAATTGCAAGAGTATTAATCACTTCAGCAAAGCTTATGAATCCCACAGTTCTCTTTCAAGTAAACAAAGATTTAAGACTTGACACTTAAAATAGAAGAAAAAATATATAACATGCATTGTAAGCTGGCAGTCTTCTGGGTTTTTGTTTTGTGTTTCTTTTTTTTATTATTTTCCCCTTAAAAGCAAGTTGAGTTATTAATTCAAAGGAGTGGCCTTCAAAAGTCAAGCCAGAGCAGGACAATGGTGGATTCAATCAACGAGCATACCTGTAAAGAGCTCAGGAGCCATATGAATGGGTGTGCCTACAATACTGCCAGACATCATGGCTTCTGGTTTGCAGAACCCCAAGTCAGTGATTTTGGCTCGATTCTTTTTGTCAAGCTGTAGAAGAATTCATACACAGGCAGCTGATAACCATACTTCTCAGTTTTAGTATTGCTTTTTCAATATTAAGCTTTTAAACTACGTTTACATTTCAAGGGTTGGGCATTCATTCTTAAGTAAGCTCCTCTGATTACTTGGCTGCCCTTGGACATTTACCTAGTTAAGCTCAGTAGCAAGACATGCCTTCACTTGTCTTCTACATAGAGAGTGTGGTTGGGATTTGAGAGAAGCAGGAACTGGAAGTACTACTTGTAGCTCAAGCTCTCTGCCTTCAAGAGAAGTCACTCTACTACTCCCTTTCCTCTAGGCTTTCTGCCTGAAAAGGAGTTAGGGAAGCCTCACTGGAATGCTAGTTGTGGCTAACAATACCACAAATTAAAAGATCCTGTATGAAGAAAGATTATTACTTCACTTATATTATGCTTCTCCCTCCCACTAAAAGGACCTCGTTAGACTTCAGGATTAGCCAGATAAAAAAGTTTTCCTTACCAATACATTTTTAAGTTTGATATCCCGGTGCACAAGTCCCTGACTGTGAAGATAACGGATTCCTTCAACTACATCCAAGGCAATCTGTAATCGTGTTTCTAATTCTAGCCCAGCCTGAAGAGTAAACAAACACAGATTTAATTCCTCAAGTAGAATTTACTTTTGCTTACTCTTATTTGCCAAAAACACTGAAAACCAAGCAATTCTAGCTTTGTTTTACAATTAATAGATATTCAAGTGTGGATTTTTTTTTTAATGTATATATACATACACACACAGATTGTTGTTACCTTTAGTCCTGTATAAAGGTCTCTGTGCAACCGTTCCATTATCAGTAAGACGGCAATGCTGGAGCCTCCTCCATAGCCATAATCTATCACAGAACCATGTAGATGTACGAGCCGCTCGTGTGTCTGCAGAGACCTAGAGAAAGTTCAGCACAGAAAGCTGGTCATTTTTATATCCCTCCCTCCACCCCAGGCCAAGCCTCATCTTGTAAAGGAAAAATGCCCAATAGCTGCAGCTTTAGCACAATAGTAAGATACACCTATACCATGTGCTGTACAGTAAAAATTCACAGCATCCCACAGTTCTGAGGACCATAACAACATACAGCTGTCTGATCCAATTAAACTCAAGAAAGCCTATTAAAGGTTATAGTACCAAAGAAATACTGTATTATTTCAGCTGTCTGTACTGCAGCACCTGCCTGCAGCTGTTTACTAAAAATGGGCTCAGTTTTCTGCAGTGTAGACCCATCATTTTCTTTTATGAATTCAGAGAGCACAAAGACAGAATGGGAAAGGAGAGACGATTCAACACCCAAAAAAAAAAAATCAGTGGAGAAGAACTGTTTGCTACCATACTTTATTAATTCTAATTTACTCTGCAAAATAGCAAGCATTTGAACACTGCAGACACCAGAGAATCAGATTAAGACAGGAAGGAGCATGTCTGCCTACCATTCTGTGCCTATTAGATTTTTGCAGTGGCCATGGCAAGCTGCTTTGCCTTTGCTAGAAATGGCAGCTTAGCGTTTCATGAAGTCAAGTCACTGATTGCAGAGTAGACTTATAGCAAGGAATATTCTGCCTATGCAAACGCAAATAGCATTTCTTTGCAGCAGGGAAGTTAAGGAGAACCGTGTGGAATGAGAAAAGTGCTTACAAAACACACCTCATATAGTGAAACTCAAGTGCAAGGTCATTCCAGTGCTTCTCATCTGGAGGAACAACAGATTTCAGTGCACATGGGAAATGCCCTCCCCAGCTGTCACACAGATAGACCACGCCGTACTGTCCTCGGCCCAGCTCACGGCCCAACTTTGGTTTGCCTGTAAGGCACAACATCCATTTAGTCAGATGTTAAAACATGTTTGTTTCTTCCTGTACACTATCAGGCTGGCAGCCCGGAGCTTTTCATGAGCCAACAGCTGCACAATTCAAAGTACTCAGTATGTCTCAGATGGAGGCTCACTGAAGTAGTTGAGTGAAAAGCAAAACACCCCTCCTACTCCTTTACACCCACTGACTGTTTCAGAAGAGGGGAGCAGAAGATAACACAAAGAACATCAAGCACAATGCTCACCATGTAACAGCACATCCTGGAGGGACCTGCTCTCCAGCGAGAGTCGTGCTAGCCGAGGAGCATGATCCTTCCGCACCTTCAGCCACAGGTCTTCTGTTTTCTCCAGCCTGCCAGAATGGCCATCTTCTAACTACAAGAGATACCACATATACACTGTAATCCTGCCTGATTTGAATCCCGAGCATAATGTGGTTGAGGGTCCTTGCACAACTGAGTAGAGATCCTATTTAAAGCATGCCTCGTTTAAAAATTGGACCTTGTATCAGGGCACTCCTACCAGCTCTGCCACCTAGACCTACAGAATGGCAGCATTAACTGCACGAGCTGCTCTTTTAGCTATCTCTGCAATTAAAAAATCCTCTTTCCGTAAGTGGCAAGGTACAAAACAAGACCTCCTTCTTAACAGCTCCACACACTCACCTGTCGCAGAGAAGCTGCAAAAGCCTCATGGGAACTGTTTAGCCTGGTCCGGAACTGGCTACAAATGCTCTTGGCTAATTTGGATGCACTGAGGCTCTCAATAGCATCCTGAGCAACTTTCCTCTTCCAGTCACTGGTGATGGCAGGTGGGCTGACCCATGTAATCCGCTGGATTATCTAGTAAAACGGAACAGAATTAAGGCACTAGCACAAAAAAGCAAAGGGTCAGTCAATTTACTCAGACTGCTTAGATATCTTGTAATAATGTACAGTCATCTGCACATAGAATTGGGCTAAATAATTACCTTACAGTAACTACTAAGAATTTAGAGATATTGATCACAATACTGTTGCACACCCACACTAAATAAGAGATTTGATTTTTCTGAGTATCTGCTCAGTTCATTCCTCCAAGCCAACCATCCTTTCATGTCTGACTAAGAACATACACAGACAGACAGCCACCACTTGGAAAACCACAGAGTTGTGGTGCAGCTTGTAGGCTGAACGAACAAGCAGAGAAAAAACAGAGACTCAGGAAGAGAGATGTTCCTAAACTGGTGAAAGCTACAGTGAAGCAGCTTTTTGCCAGATGGACACACTGTCAAGGTGCGGAAGTCTTAGGTGTCAGCATGCACCACTTCCCTTAAATTCCTGGGTGATTAAGATGCCCTGCCCCACCCTTTATTAGAAGCCACAGAAATCCAGCCGCTGCACACGCAGTCTGGATCATTCTCGCAGGCTGAAGGAGGAATACGAAGGTTTTTTACCACTCAGTCTGCACTGCACCTTTTTGGGAAAAACTCATATTCCTCTCACCCATCCATACACAAGGAATCTCAAGAGAGAGAAGGCAGTAAAGGTCATCAACAGCTCAAAGCAGGAACTTCAGAAAGATGAATGCTTTAACAGACAGAAAATTAAAACAAAGACCTGAGGAAATCTGGTCTGCTCTGGAGGGAGAACAGTGAATTGACCTGAATCAAGATATATTGCAAAACAAACCAACCCACAAGAAACTCCCAAACCCAAATAAACAACCAGTTACCCAAAACAAACAGCAAGAGTTTCATAATGCTGATCATCATATTCCTTTGCCCTTTCAGAACAGAAAGGAAACATTAAAAAGGTATTTGCTTTAAATTAAATGTTAGCATCTCCAGGAATAAACTATACACACCGCCTTAGTGCGGAGTGGGGAAGCAACAGCTCTCCAATGCATGTGCCCAGAGTCAAAATTTAGAGAGCACCTGTATTCACATTATTTGCTCCAAAAACATTTCACTATATAGTGACATGTACTAGAAATAAATTATAGAGATGCCCATACCTGTTTGATCTGTTCCCACAGCATTCTGGTTACTGTCGAGCCTGAGTGGAAAGTGACTTCAACGTGATAGGCTGCATTTAGTATCTGGAAAGCACGGGAAAGATGAAAGTATGGGAACTTTGCAAGCTATAGTCACTACAAAATTTGCTAGACTCTCTGAAAATGAAAAAATGGACACTGTATGGCATACTCCATGATTCACTTGGTTCAATTCATTTATTGTACTAAGCTCATAAGTGTTTCTAGGATGTAATCTGATTCCTATATACAGATCCAGGAAAGGTAAGTACTAGGCCTTTAAGTGACTGTTCCCCAGTTTTAGCACCTCCCTTAATGACACCAGACCCACACACACTCCAGAGCTGTGTTCCTCTCATTTTACAGAGCATCTCAGCCTCCTACCACCCTTGCTGGATCAGGATAAAGACAATTATTAAAAATATTCTAGACAGCTACTTAAGCCACCGTACCTGTTTGAGATAATTGCTTGTGATGTGTACAGAAACATCCTTTGACTTCTCCAAACTCCTTGCAGGGTGTACTGCAACCTCCCAAGACTCCTCCAGGCTCTTCAGACATCTCTCCAGAGTCCCTACAAAGCTCTCTCGCAGATAGTCCACTGAACTAATTAACTTGTTGGCAACTGCTTGGTTTAATCGAGAAATAATCAGTTCCTGAATTTGCTTAATGCAACACTTTATGTCCTTGGAACTAACAGGTTCCCCATTCTCAGGAATGATGATATCTGCACAAAAGAAAAGAAAGAGGCATCTTTTGTATTCAACATTATCATTGTTGCAACAATGCTTTGAGTGTTTTGCAAAGGAGCTACAGCACAACCCCAATCCAGCCAGCTTCTGCTCCAAACACACTATTTGGCTCCTTCAGAGGTTCATTACTTTAGATCCAGATGATATAAAGTGAAGCCAACAGTGTTTCGAGGTCATACAAAAAAAAACCCAAACTCGTGAGCAACAGAAAAACATGCATACTGACTATTGCAAAGGATTAAATGTAGGATGTCTAATGCTACGATGCCAGTTTTACACGAGGTCCCAAACCCAGTCCTACAGATCTTGAGTAATTTGGTACTCTGTGATAGAAAGTACTAAAGCATTAGAGTAGTTCCAGGAATGCACACCTGGTTACTCCAGTTTCAGGGAAGCTAAAAATCACATCTGACCAAGGTGGAAAATATTCTGATGTTTGCTTTCATTCGCTGGTGTTCCAATTCACAGGATACTCAACTCTAACACCTCATAGGCTATACAAGCATTCTGGAGCTACTACAGGTTTACAGTGGTACAGTGACAACAAATCAACTATCACATCAAAAATTAAAGGGCAGAAGCACAAAGCTGTCTTTCTATCTAAAGAACAGATCAGGAAATTCTTCCAGGCCACACTGCAATCCATAAGCACTGCTGGCTGTTGAATGTTATGAAGAGAGTGATACAACAGCCACACCGGTTACATGAATTTCTTTTCCCCCCAGGTACCTTGAAAAGGCTGATTACCACTTGGTATTTTTAAACAAACACTGAGCAATCACTGCTCATGCACTGTAGCTACTCTGAGCAATACTATATTACTACCAGGAGCTGAAGAACTTGTCTCTGGATTTCGGCCAATAGCCCAGCCTACTTAAAACAAATCCAGTGATTGGCAGATGGCATTAGCTTCTCAAAATAACACCTTCCTCCTTTCAAATACTGATAGCCAACAAGATGCTACACTCTAAGTTATATTTGTCATGCAAATAAATATAGACACATATTTACTGCAGGTGTTTTATCTTGTGCGGTCCCTAAGCATATTCCTGCACACACAGAATGCTGAACTCGGGCACTACAGTGCTCCAACTCTGTAAAGAGTGGGACAGACAGAATACAGGAATTATTACCTGTCCTGATAATGGAGCAATAGCAGCCCTAAACAGGCAGAATTAATACACTCGCTATACTGTTGGCATATGCTAGTTTGTTGGGGTTTTTTGCAGCATGCAAATAGGTTATGTTAAAATAAGCTCTTTATGAGGACTACGTTTTGTATGGGCACTACAAAGCAAACATTTCAAGAAACAGGAAAGATCTTATCAATTTCCCACCTGCAGAAGCAAAAAGATCCAGATCTTAACCTGCAGGATTCAGCATTTCTCCTCTTTGTCCCAGGAGATAACATTACAGTTTGAAGTCGGGAGGAAGTAAGTCAAGACAAACAAAATTACCTAGAGTTTTGGCCTCTCTCATACCTCAGAAGAGTGCTCAATTCACAAAAAAAATAATACAATTCTTCTAAACCAATAGCCTAGAGTTATTTCTGATTTTATTTTAAATAGAAACATCTTTCCCCATCAGACCAGTGAACTGCATTTCTTTTTAACAGAAATTGTTATGGTAAAACTCTGCTTAGCAAGCAGAGGGGAAGAGATCCATGGAGTATCATGGAGTATCTTCCCTTTGATGTTTATGACAGACCACATCAGACAGAAATTGGATAGCCTCTCACCCTTCGCAGTTTCCACATCATTCCATTTTCAGCTTCTGTGTTCCTGGAAGTTCTGGTACTAGAAGATGTAGTGAGAATTCTCACATTTCCCAAAAACACACACTAAATGTCAAGCGGAAGCCTCAGGAGCACAATATATTGTGTTGATTTTTTTTAAAAGGAAAACCTTACCTACTCAGAAGGATTTCATTTTAGGAGGTTCTATACCCAAAAGTCTTATGCAAACCTCTCTCAGACAAAGAAATAAAGCAGAAAGTACAAATCAAGCCTTCACTGCTAAAACTCAAACAGCTTTTTTTCTTAGGATAGCCTTATTCCCAAGTCTCAACACATCCACTGAGGCAAAGTTGAGAGAGTTATTTTCTTCTTCAGCAGAATAGGGAATTAAAGCACAGAAGTAATACACCCTAACCCAGAACTGTGCAGCAAGCTATGTGGGAAATATGTGACTTATAAGAAACCAAGACTTAATATATTCAGGCCTCTCATGTAAGGACAGTGTTTTTTACACAGGAGATACCACAGAAAAATCCTTTGTGTATAAGTTCTGAATTTTCTTGCCAAGTCACTTGTCTTGACTGTCACTCAACCATCCCTTAGCAGATGGCAAATATTACTCCATCACTCTCCTTTAAGGTCCCTAACCTCTTTGTTCCCATTACTCTCCTGCCAGTAGTTACCTTTGAATTCCATATTGGCAGCATCCTCCAAGAGCTCCTCTTTCATGTTGCTAAGAGTCTCTATGATCATGTCCTTCATCTCCTCTTGTTTGCGGTTGGCAATGTTCATGAGAGACTCATAGAGCTCATTCTCCTTCTTGCGGGTATACTCCAGCCTCTTGGGAGTGATTTGCAGGTCTCGCTGCATGTCAAAAGCCTGATTGATGAAGATGTTCAGGCAGCGGCAGTGCACCTCGTTTAAACTGGTAGCTGCTTCCACAAGATGCTTCTGAAGCACCTGCCTGGAGAAAGTGCTTAGGAGACGGAGCTTCTCAAACTGCTCCACCAGCATGCTCTGGGCATCGGCATCAGGAGCAGGTGCCCCGCAGCTGCAGTGGTTGGTACTCAGGTACTCCAAGTCCATCAGCTGGCAGTAAAGGGAGGACTTTTCATTATCAGTTTTTGGGGGAGAGATCAGGTCAACCCCCGACTCTGGCACTTTGAAGAAGAAAATTGGCAAAGAAAATTTCTCTTTGATTTCGCGCAGTTCATTCTCATCTGATGAAGAAAGTTCAGCCTCGCTGATGGCAAAGATGACAACAGGCAACACTTGGTTCACGTACTCTCCCAGGGTGGCTTCAGCAGACTGGAATCCACGACATGGTGCTACAACAACGTCCACTTCCTGCCAAGTGAGGAAATTAAAAAAAAGGGGTTGTACAGGTCCTTTTAAAAACTGATACATGCAAAAAAAATGCACTGTAATACATTCAACAAAATGCAAAACCAGAAACATTCAAACCCTTTAGAACAGTTATGGAGTCTCACATACAGCACCATGCTTTAGTATACAGCCTACCTGCAGGGCTGATGAGAGCCCTCTCACAGGGATGGCAGCCAGACATGGATTAGTGCCCACTGACTCCAAAACTCTTATTTTGTACCAAGTGCCTTTGAGTTTTAACCCAGCTCTGAACAAACTTAGAACAAGTTTCCCAGGTAAGCGCCATCGCAGAATAGCTGTCATTCTTTAGCTTATAGCTGCCCCATTTTGCAACAACCTCTCCCATTGATGTTTACCAGATCTGCGGCTCTTTGAAGAGATATCCATGCTGTCAGTTTTCACTGTAGCTTCCAATGGTAGAAAGCACTACACTAGCCACTACTGCCAAGACAAAGGCAGCACAATAACCAGTTCCAAAGAGTTCACAGCCAAATGACAGATAAGGAAGAACAGATGGTTGTGACAAGCTTAGTTATGACTTTCTTCAAATCCAACCAAAAGTTAAGAGATGTATTTTATTTACTTATTTTCTTACGGCACAGAGTTTCACTGCTTTGGTCAAATGCTCCTGCTGACGTCACTTCTTACTAACCCTACTAAAAAGGGCCAGTTCTGAAACCTGCTTCCTTCCCTTCCAAGGAAGGAGACAAGATTCACCTCTGGATACGCAAGAATAGTGTTATAATTGCATATATCACTCTACTGAAATAAAGATAGAAAATGTCAAAGGCTCTGATCTGAAGAGAGAATTTTAAGTGCCATCTTCCGACTCATAATAGGGGACAATAATTAAGAACTCCTCAGTCATTTTTCTCCACCAGAAAAATGAAAGACGTGACCACGTCTCCCAACTGCTCTTAGAGCTAAGAGGAATTCATTACTGCCACGGGACTCCCCGGTGCTGAACTCAAACCTGTCTGATGCACAGGAGGTTGAGCAGAATGGGATGCAGTGCTGCAATATTCACCAGGACGGATGACTCACACCAGCCACTGTAAACAAAGGAGGAAGCCAGTGCTGTCTCTAGGAGACAAGGAGAAAACCAACACAGACAAGCGAACACAGCCTGAGCAACTGGTCCTTCTGTTTCCACAGAGGCCTCTCAGGCTTTTCCAAAGACCATTACCAACATTTCTTGCCCACCCCTCTGGTTTTTTTAAGTGTCCTACAGAAGTTTAAGCACTGTCTATGCAGCTTCATATTATTAGGGATCAAGTCTTCCTATACGGGGAATACCTATGACTCACACTGGATTCCTAGAATTTTTAAGTTGGTTCTCACAAGGTCACACCAATATAAACACACTTGAACAATACTGACAGAGCTGTAAGCATGAAACTGCTGTCAAGTAACTTCATTCCTATTTTCCTTAACTAAAAGGCCCTTTTTAAAATATCAAAGCCTCCCACTTAGCAATCTGAACATCAGGTACACAGATATCAGAGTTACAGCTCTTCCACTTAAAATATGATCCAGAGGTGCTGTCAACAGCAATACAAAAAAGACAGTTTAAAAAGAATACCATGCAGACACCCTATGTACTCATCTATGCATTCAGACTTGCAATGCCAGGATGGCCACTGCATCCCATATCCCAGAACAAAAATTAAAATCGAGGATCAAGTAGGTCTTGACCTACAATAAGACAAGTGGAGTCTCGCTAAATGCATTCAGGGACCACTGAAGTGTGCCATTTTACTAAGTCAACAGATAATTCCTCATTTCCAAATCAGTTAAAAAGCATTTATTTGCTACATCCCAAGAGGACATTGGCCTATTTTGCTAGGCTTCGGGCAGTTTAATCACTGTTTGCTTAGTTAACTGAGGTGCTGAGAAGCTAACCCAATTTAGTCAGATTTTTACCCAAACTCCTACCAAGCAGATTAAGACTAAAGCCCCAGCTCAGTCTTTTTCTAAGCCAATTTGAATATTCTGCCATTCAAGAATAGTCTCTGAATCACTGAAGTCTGACACTTACTGCATTTATTACATGTGAGCTAATTTCACTGCCTCCCTATTAATCTCAGGTACAGATATACCCCTAGATTCTACTTAGAACTTTTTTTTTCCATTCACATACTCCCCTGTCCCCAATTTTTTCTGAAATCTTGCCAGTGTATTCTGTTTCCATGAGGATCTGATTCAGAAGTTCAGTAACTCTAATCTACAGAGAATCCCAGGTAAAAAAACTGAACCACACCTCTGTTCTCCAAACACTGCTGTCCTTTACAGAACATAATTGCTTTGGTTTTGTGCAATGACTCTGAACCCCACTTCATCAGGGAATTTTGTTTTACCTTTGCTGGAAGAGCCAGCCCAAGAAAGCCTGTGAGGTATACACACTTAGGAAAGTCTGAGAAGCAATGCTCTTTTTCTGACCATAAATTCTTCCCCTGTAAAAGATATATCACTAAGCAAGCAAAACTAGATACAGAGAACAGGTTTTGCATGGGCAGAAGAATAATTCCATGGTGCTGGCAAAATGAAACTTTTTAGTCTGAGACTCAAAGCAAGACAAAGGCATGAAAAAGGAAGCTTTCAGCCCTGTTACCCTCCTCCCATTCAGCTGTACCACCCAGACAAAAACCAATACTTCAGAGAAGTCCATTTTGGCTTCCAGGCACAACTGATAAGATTTAGGGAACGAGCCAACTGTTTACTCCCACTATAACTCTAAATCTGTCTGGCTAGATGGATTATTCCCCATGACCTAGATGCATTCCTGTGCACAGTGATCCCCAAGGAATAGAGCTGCTTTGCCAAAGTTTTTCCTTCCCTGATATTTAAAAATAACTTTCACATACCTATTAGCACAAGGTAGTGTTCTCACAGCAGCCGACCCATGCAAATGAAATATGTGGCTCCCTCCTCCTCACCCTCTTTTCTGTGAAACAAGTTTTGATTAAGACATCCTTCAGTAACACAGAAAAGCAAGCATGGTCCCATCCTGGATATCAGACTAAAGAAAAAAACCACAGGGTGCTCCACTAGCAGTTCAATATTAAGAAGTGGTATATTCTACAGTTGTATTGAATTTATCTCCAAGTAAAAAAAAAGTAGTTTAGTTAATATTTGGATATTGTTAACTTACAAATAACTTAGCCTTTCTTTATTGGAGTAAGGGCTAATGAGTTTGGATTTAGCAAACAAGTACCTGCACCAGGAAGCATGATTCAGCATTAAGTGCCTGCACAAAACAGCAGCATGTAATCTAGGTGCCCAAGCCAGCCTGTGCAATTAAGTCTCTTGGTAAGAGATGCTCTTAGGCCTGAAAAGCTGCGCCACATTCCCCAGGTCCTGAAGTCACTGACAGCTCCTTTGATAGCAACCTACTGGTAATTAAGTGTCCTCACTATGGGGAATGAATGCGATTTCAAACAGAAATCACAAATTAAATTCTCATCTCCTACAACTGTTCAAGTCCACAATAAGGATCTGCTAATGTTTCTTCCTCCACTAGTAAGGTGTTTGAATATCTAGAATGTAAGGTTGTAATGAAACACAGTACTACTTATAAGCACTCTGCTGTTGGGAGAAAAACACACTGATGAAAATACATGGATTCTAGGTAACAGGTAGGGTAAGATTCAGATTGATTTCCCTCCCCCTCTGCTCAAAAGGTGTTCAGCTCCTCCAAAGTATTTGGTTTCTGGGCAAATCTAAATCCTTAAGACCTGTACTGAATATCATGTTATTATCAAGCATGCAATTGTTATTAAACTCTTAGTTTTGTTTCACTAGTTAAAAAAAGCAGAAGTTCCTTCTGCAGACATGCAACTTTGGATAGCGTCCAAAAAACCTCATCCATTATTGCTCCAGATATATATTCCACTAGTTACAGAAGTAGTGTCTATGACTAGCAGATATTTACTTTAAAAACTTTGTTGTCTTGGTGTATGCCGAGCAGAGCTGGAGAACGCACATTAGCTAGAAGGGTAGAAAAACCACAGGTCTCTCAACAGGAGCTCAGACTCTTGTAATTTAGCAGGAAGCTTTCCACAGCCCAATTACCTGCTAAAATGCACTATGGTATCCTATCAGCCTTAAAAAAAATTGTTCTTCCTTTAGCCCCTTGAATTCACGTAAGGAATCCTTTGAGTCAATCTGAAGCTCGCTGTGATTCACCCTCCCTCTCCTTCTATTGGAAGAGCTTTTTATTTCACCAACCCTTTTCAAATTAATCTGAGTAGCTGTTTTCATCTAAGTGTCCTAAATATAACCAAAGCCAGACAGAGAGATCTTTGTCACTCACATGAGAAATCTGAAAGAGGGTTGTAAACTGCAGTGTGTCTAAACTGGCCCATATAAAAATGTAACCAAGTAAAATAAATGTAAAGCTAAATACTCTTATGCATAGCAAGGCAGGATTTTACAAGCAGAAGCTCCAGAACAGGCACTTACTTTGCAGCACCAGCAGCTGATCTGGTGCTCTTTGGGAAAGCAGTGGATGCCTCACAGTTTATACAAGCATGGCACTTCTGTTCTCTTTCAGTGGATACTGGAAGCCACAAACCCACTACGCATAGCATTGACTGGGCTGATCTCATTAGGATAGGCTTAAATTTAGCTACAGGCTGGGTTTGTAAAACATATTTCAGACTGATGAAGATAGACTGGGTCTTCATTTTCTGCCTATTTACAATCATGTCTCAATTCATATGTCCAGAAAAAAATTACCTTGCTATTTTATTGTTCAACTATGAAGTTCATACTCTTATGTGACAACAGATGATATTCTTTGCACTTAAGCAATTTATATTTAAGAATTAACTGTCTATTCCAGATATTCAACTGCCAAACACAACGCTCCAGAAGTATTATACTGAAATAACAAAGGCTCAATGTAAGATAGGAAATGCAATTAAAGCTACGGAAGCTATAAAAAGCTATGAAATACAACCCTCACTTTTAAAGATATTTACTAAACACCAAACTGCACTACTCTCAGAACAGGAACACGTTTTATGGACAAGTAAAAGGAAAGTCAAAGCAAGATACTAACAACATTAGAAACAGTACTGAGAACAGACTCCCACCTTCTTGTTCTTACCACCCTCAATTTCCATTGACACGACAGAAATGTAAAAAGCCACCCTCTGACATGAAGTTAGGTCATTTTATCAGATGTTGGAAGCAAGAAGCCTTTTTTCTGACAACAAGCTCTTCACGACAGATTAAAAAGTACATATCCTCGTACGACAGCTTCTAGCTACTATCAGACAGCAAAGCTAACTCTGAATGACCTTGAAACTGGAGTAAAATTTTAGAAGACTCTTGGAGTTACATCTGAGTAAGCTTGGCTTCTGAGATGGATGGAAACATTACAGAGGAATGATAATGCTAAGAGTCAACACTGAAACAAAAGTACACAAGCACACAGTGATGTCCAATTAAAATCCTAACACCAGACTTCGAGTTCCTCTTCAACTAAAAAGAATTCCTATGCTTAAGAGTTTATACCATTAGCTTTGTTAGGGACTATAAATGAATGTTAGGGAGTATAAAGAAACATCTGGAGTTCACTACAATGGTACATGGACACCTAGTTACCTTTAGTAGTGAGTACGGCAGCATGACCTCCAGCTCCGCTATCTGGTGAGCAGGATCTTCACTGTCCCCATGAATCTCTAAGTCCTCCTCTGGTATCGTGTCCCAGTGCCCTCGGTGGGCTGCCATCATATGGACCAGTTCATACTGCTCAGGCAGCGCCAGGCTAACCCGTGTTTGTGTCCCATGCGTGAAACGGATCCGTCGCCTCTTACAATTCTCCTCGTTGCTGATTTTGGTGGTAGGGAGCAGCTTCTCACCCAGCAGTATGTTGAGTAACTGGCATTTGGCATTACAGTTCTGGCCAAGGATCAGAAGGCAAGGGTGCCAGCTCACAGTCCGCTGGAGATGCTCTTCCTCATGGCGAGGGAAGGAAATGAAATTCTGCCCTAAAATTGAGGACAGACTGCATTAGAACAGGTTGGCTGAACAGCAAGTCTTGTATCTCTAAGCCAGCTGAAGACAAAAGTTCAGACATTGCTGCCCCACAGCCCGCCAAGAAACCCACATAGCACCAAGAATTTGCTTATGTATCCTGAAACCAGCGTCAGCAATTCAGCATTTCTACGGCACCAACACATAGGTCCACAGTAGGGTGATTCTCACAAAGCCATTAAGACAATTTGTTACTGTTCTCCCCACCTATTTCACTGGCAAGTGCTTACACACAGAGCTCTCTTCAGCAGGTTAGTGGGAGACTAATGGTAGGCCCTAAAAGTCAGGAGGAAACAGTTTACAAGGTTGAAACAACCAAAGGGCTAATTTTGCCTTGGGTTGGAACAGTGTCCCACCTTGCTCCAAAGTTCAGGGAGGCCCAATGGGTCGCTAAGGCTAACTCTTCCCAAGTTTTGATGGCTTAACTGTACAGAAGGTTCCTGTCACATACCAGAAACAAATTCAGTCAACTATGAACTGGTGACAGTTCCACCCACGCCGTTAAAAATGTCAAATACTTTGCATCTACCAAATCCCAGGAGTATTACTGCACAAGCTTGTTGACCAAAGATCATTGACATTAAAGTAGCAAAACCTCCTTTCTAGCCTCAAGGAAAGGCACTCTTGCAAAATTGCATGAAGCAGATGACAAGACCAAGTTTGCTGAGACATGGCAGCAGAACTAATAGCCTCTGCCAGCAATTTCCTATGACAGAAATACAATCACAGCATCTAAAGAAACTGTCACGCTTTCACCAGCCTGGGTAGAGATGTGCCCAAGGGAAGACACTCTTTGCTAGCAGCCAGAAGGTTCCTAGTGCAGTCTAAAACAGACTAAGAAACAGTTTCACTCCTGTGATTGCACTAACAGTACACATCTTTCCTAACCTGTATAGTCAAATTAAATAGGCAGAGTTTGCCAGATATTCTTATTAATTTTAAGAACAACATTTAAGATGCAAAAGGAAATTACTCAACATCTGTATCTTCTTCAGAGTAGCAGGACTCCCTGTAATCACTCTCCTTACCCATCTTCCATCTGAAGCATCAGTTGTATCGTCTCGCTAACTAGGCCCTTTGAATTCTTAGCCCATGATGCTGCAGCTCCTTGCATTTGCCTTACTACATTAATTCAGTCTCAGTACTGAATTTAGCTTCTGTATTCTTTTACAAGGGCTAAATACAGCTTTTCCCACGCTCAGTCATCTAAGCTGAAGTCTAAGAAGCTTTGTGTTACCTTATGCATGGCAACAGAATAATTCTGGTAGTACAAAAAAATGGATACAAACAAATTCCCCATCTGCTGCACTTCAGCACAATCCCCGTGAGTACAAAACAGCTAGCGTTCCACCACAGCCCATGTTCCCAGATCTGAAGGCAGATGGCACCCGAGAATGAAATGGCAAATGGAGACACCAGTCCCCAAAAGAACTGCCAAATCTGGAAGCTATAAACCAGTACGATTGCCTTGACACCAGGCGAATTGACAAGAATGACAGTTTAAAGATAGACACAAATACAATACAGCAGAGAAGCACTAGCAGGGATTTTGTAGGGGAAGGTCCTGTTTCACCAGGGCTATTAAAATTAATTTAATGAGTCATGTTTTGGCATCCAGAATTGTTTCAGCATCTCAAGCCCCAAGAAAACAAGATACTTTCATATACCAAGATACTCCTCAACACTACTAACCAAATTAAAGATAACATAAAACAGCTCTTCTAGCCCTCATTCTGATAGCATTCCATTCCTCTATTTTAACTAAAATAATTCAAATTGGGAGTTGGTTGTATCTTAGACCTAGTTTAAAGCTTCTTTTAACATCTTGCCTAATATTTACCTTTCCTTGAAATCTGCAGTCTGGATATAGGGCTGCTGGAAGAGTTCTCTCCATCAGAGGAGTCCTGCTATCCCGGACAACACTAAGAGGAAACCCTCGCTGCCTCAGCAAGCCCCTCTCCTGCACCTCTGCCCCACACTGCCCCAGACACTGACTGCCATAAACCAACAGTTTGGAAAAGGTTAAGGGAGACATCACTTCTTGAAGCGTGACTCTTCATAACTGTTTCTTAAACAAGCCTTTCAAGATACACAACCATAGCAGAGTGGCCACATCAAGTGACTGAAGGGCAGAATCTGGCTAGCAGCTCACAAAAGATAAAAATCCAGCAAATATCCAGAAATAGCACATTTAAGCCTTCATCTACAAGATAAAGAATTTCTTTGATCTGGTTACAACTATTGAAACTTCAACTGTAATTACATGCTACCAAGCATGAAAAAAGCACTTCAGAAAGCGTTGTACAGGCTGCGAAGCCTTCTCTGCACAGGCTTTTGAAAAGAAAAGAAGAGGCAGATTGCACCCTCTCCTCTTTCTGGTTGGCCTCTGTATTTGCGGATACTTAATGCCAGCATAAAATGGTTGAGATACAGCAGCTTAGCTGAAATTATTGAAGCACATAATGGATATATAAATACTACATCTTTAAAACACCTTTCATCTTTTCATGCACACAACCTCCCTGTGATCAGCATTTATTCAACAAGTTTACAAGTAGTGTCAGTAACGAAGCCATTATTATATTTAACATTATGTCACACCGCAATATTCCAGGTATGGGAAGTACAAACCTGAAACCAGCACCAAAAGCAAGATTCAGCCGTATCACAACTAACGCAGTGCACCATCAAGGCACCCAAGTCACAGCAGTGGTTTCAACCCTGTGTGTACCTATCACTGGATATCCTACAGCAACCTCAGGGTCTCAAACCTGAAGTGAGTTGCACAGCAATGGAGCTATTGCTCATACTCTGCACTGCAGAAAGTATATTACTATTTCTGCACATCAGAGTAAGACACAGGGTAAAAAACACTCTTACAGTACTTAACAGGTGATGCGACTAAACTGAACAAAGAATTCAAGTCGGGAGGAATATGACCTCCTGTGGCACATAACAAAAAGCAGAGTTAGAACTTGCTTACTGAAGAGCTGTAGCAATATTCCCATAACTACAGGAGCACCTCCTGTTCATGACGGGACTTTTGCCAAAGCTTTTAGCTGGTGCTACATACTGTATCCATATACCATATCATTTGGAGACATGTGATAAACACTTCAAAAAAAATGGCTCCAGGGGAGTCCTTAAGCGCGTGCATCCTATTAAGCTCCTTTTGATGAAAGGAGGCCTGTCCAAGAACAAGGACATCTCTCACTGCAACTCATCTCAAAATTCAATCAAACACTTGGCAGAAGAATCTTAAGTTGAATTTATGGAATCTACAGAAACCCTAAGCATTTATGCATCCCCTTTTCAAGGAAGGCCAATGACACTGCTGGTCTCACTTGTCTTTCTATTCTATTCTCAATAACACATGTGGACAACAGTACCTAGGTAAGGCCAGATCCTCATACTTCTTAATTCTTACTCAGCCCTTTCATAGAAACCCTTAATTTCTGTGGTGCTGGCAATGACTCGCAGCATGCTTTGACTGCTATGAGACTTAGGCTTAACACACTCAGTTATATAAACCAAGTTTTAGTTCCACCCCACCACCCATCTACCAGCACAGCGGTGTTATTTCCAGGAGAACACTTGCAACTAATCAATATACCAACATAAGCAGGTCCTGCAGAACCATGGTCTGCAGAACCAAGCTTCATCTTCTGCTTAACTTGAAGCTTGTTAGCAAGTGCCTCCTCCTCTCTGTTTGGGGAGTCATTTCACAAGTACCCTCCTGACCGCCTCTCCACACATTATCTAGTCTTAAAACCCATCTTCTTATGTTGACATACCTAACAGCACAATAGGAGTCCTAACCTTTTGAGGATCACAGCAATATAGGCAGAGCAGTCACATTTTAACCAGGATATATACCCTCAGTCAATATAGGACCAGGATGAAAACTCTTCCAAACCCTCTGGTTAATACCTTCACCCTCTACAGAATACATTTATGGAGTCATTAGGCTACCAAGCCTAGGGCTTTCCCCCCAGCACACACTCATTAAGATTACACCACAGCTGCTGACTAAAACTCTGTAGATGCTGTGGATATCTGTACAAGAGGTACAGCTCAGTTTATACCAATTTCTGAAATAAGGCAAAAGAAATAGCAAAAAAAATCTCAGGTTCCTAGGTCAAAGAGTTCAAATTATTTCAAGCACAGAATGAAGAAAACAACTACAATTAGTAGAAAGCAGAGTTACTGGGTTTTTTTCTTCCTCAGTATCTTTACATATTTCAGTAAAATCTGCTGCTAAGTCCCTAATTAAGATTTTCTTTTTACAGAAAGTCAGTACAAAACACAGTGGCTAACAGCACCAAGAACAAAAAGCTGTCAGACCTGTGCAGGCTAAAGCTACAGAATTGTCGTACTACTTCAACAGATCATCTTAAAAGCCTATTCATGACAAAGCAGACAGAGAACAGACAATATTTTGTTGAATGCTTCAGAAATGCAGACAGTGCAAACAAGACTTTCTCCCTCCCCTCATAAACAGCAGTTGGAAGGCAATTATTTTTTTCCCTTGAACTAATTTTACTTCTCATACTATGAGGAGTAAGTCCTGTTACTAAGGCCACAGAGGGACGTTTGGTCAATGACAATCCTTTATGGACAAATATCGCCTGTCAGCCTCCTAAGCAGAGGAGGGTGGGATGTAAAAGCAAGTACACATTTGCTCCTTCAAGTACCCAACCTTAACTGATCCAGCTTACCTGAAAGGTCAGTGGCTACTACTCAGCTTAGCAGGCACTTAGGGCTGGTTTTGGACAGAGTAATCCAGGTTCTGCTTTAGGTTGCTTGAGTTGTGTTAATTCGAAGAGCAGTTACCTTTCTATGTTGTTACACCAGCTTCACAGGTGTTGTGAAATCAAACCCCTTCACATTTGTTTTGTTTCCAAGACATCTAAATTTACTTTCACAGTTTATTTTTCCACTTCAACCATAAACAGTAAGTATCCATTTCACTTCCCAGTTCCTTTGTATTTCACAAAACATTAGCATTCACGCCACTGCACACTGCAGAGTGCTGCAAAAAGTCTGCAGAACCGTTCGGTCAAAATTCCTCTCACTTTGACACCACCTGTAGGGCACACGCTAGGAAAAAGTGGTTCCGAAGCCAGTGAGAACTCTGCTCCTTAACCCTGCTTACACTTACAATAATCTCCCCACGTTAAATGGGGGAAAAAGCTTTATTACCAGCCACTAAGTTTCAGCAAGTACTGGAAGTGTACAATACAGCTCAAATTTTACAGAAACAAGCAGTTCTGCCCAAAGGTGATTATTCAGGCACAAAGTTAATAAGCAATACCAAGACTCCAGGTTTCAGGCAAAGGCTTGTGTCTTTCCATATCTTAAAAAAATAATAACCATTGGTTCACAGTTATTTTGCAGTTGACTCACTTAAGAAAACTGCCAGCCTCCATTATTTTACCAAGTCCTGCTCTTCATCTTCTCCCTTCCTTTTCCGCACTCCCCTCAAGATTGCCACCATGACTTCCACCTTCTAACATGCAGAGGGTTTAACTTGATTGCGCCCAACCTGGAACATGTCACCACTTCACCAGTTTCAAAACTACTGATTTAAGTTTTATTTTTAAGAATAGTAAATGTTATACAACATCTGCAGTCTGAAATCCTGAACCAGGAGTCTACACGTCCTGCCATTTGCATGAACAAGCTCTAAAGCAGTCAGCCTTTCCCTGAAGCCCTGATACTTAAGGGCCAGTTGGTAACACATTCAACAGTAAAGTCAAACTGAGTCAAGGTAGGTATTTGGGGAAAAAAAAAACAAACCAACCAAGGTTATAAGCGCTCTGTATTAGAAACAACAGGCAGGATATTTGGTGAAATCTGTATACTGTGTCAGGAGTATTTAATTAATAATGCATCCACATCTACAGAGCCCTATAAGCAGACTTTCAAAGATGCAATTGCTATCTGACTAGCAATGTTTTACAAGAAGTAACCAAACAGAAGAGCAGCTCCAGTGCAGTACTACCATTCAAACAGCATTGAGACCCACAGAA